ATTTTTACTCCATTTTCCCCCAATTTTTCTCCCATTTTTCCCCCTTTTCTCCCATTTCCCCCCCATTTTTCCCCCATTTTCTCCCTGTTTTTTCCCCGTTTATCCCATTTTTTCTTCCCCATTTTCCCTTATTTTTCCTCCCATTTCTCCCTCTTTTATTCCCCATTTTCCCTTTTTTTTCCCATCTCCCCTATTTCTCCCCCTTTTATTTCTCATTATCCCCCAAGTTTTTCCCTTTTATTTGTCATTTTCCCCCCATTTTTTCCCATTTCTCCCCCATTTTATCCCCTTTTCCCCCCCATTTTCCCCCCGTTTTTTCCTATTTCCTTCCCATTTTTCCCCACTTTTTCCCCTTTTATCCCATTTTCCCCCCATTTTCCCCCCAAAAAATCCCATTTCCCCTCCCTTTATCCCCCCCAAAAATCCATTTTTCAACCATTTTCCCCCAAAAAAAATCCATTTTTTCCCCATTTTTTCCCCGTTTTTTCCCCTTTTTTCCCCTTTTATCACTTTTATCCCATTTTTTCCCGTTTTATCCCATTTTTTGCCCACCCTTGAGGCAGTTCCTGGCCCCATCCAGACATTCGGGGCTCAGCTCGTTGTCCCCAAACGACCCCAAAAGTTCGGAGACGACGACGTCGGCGCCTTCGGGGGGGTCCCAGTCCCGCATGTCCCGAGGCACCACCCACACCTGGGACCCCCACTCCTCGTACTGCCAGTTCTCCAGCCTAAAATCGGGGGAAAAAACACGAAATTTGGGAAAAAACAAAAAAAAAATGGTGAAAATCGGACGAAAAATGACCGAAAGAGCCCCAAAATTCCGATTTTTTAGGGATTAATTCCAACTTTTTAGGGATTAATTACAATAATTTAGGGATTAGTTCATTACTGTCAGTTCTCCAGCCTGGATTTGGGGGAAAAAATGGGAAATTTGGGAAAAAACAAAAAAAAAATGGTGAAAAACGGATGAAAAATGAGAATAATAACCAAAAAAAACACCCCCAAAAAAACCCTCAAAACCACCCAAAATTCCAATTTTTTTAGGGATTAGGGTATTTGGGATTTTCATTCCTTGTACTGCCAGTTCTCCAGCCTGGATTTGGGGGAAAAAACACGAAATTTGGGAAAAAA